TTTGGTGGGAAGATAACAGCGTTCCGGGCGCCTTCAGCGTTTAGTCATGCCAGCCACATGACCACAGAGACGTCTTCGGACGGCGCTGGTTCTTTGGCTCTGAAACAGAGATGAGCACAGCCCCCTAGAGTCAGGAACGACTAGCACATATGTGCAAGGGGAACCTTTACCTTTTACCTTAACATAAGGCAAATTACACCAATGCACCCATTTCCCAAAGCATGTCTTTCTACACACCCTTCTTGTAGGCGAAGATGACTTTAACTTCGGCTGGGATTGGTAAACACGGACACAGCTTACAGAACTGTGCTCACTCACCTACCTGCAATACTAGCGGAGTATTTAAAAACAACAACTTTCCTAAATCTGCCACCACCTGGCATTCTCACCAAACAACAATGACTATGTGATAAGACTGTGAGCTAGTATTTTGGTGTTCTGTACATACCATTTGTGATAGTAATACGCCGGCCCTGATAGAAGTCCCCCAAGGTGACTGCGTTGCCTTGCTTAGTGGCCACAACTCGCACGGTCCTGGAATTGTCTTGACATTCCACGTAAGGGTTGTATCCCGGATTGTTCGTTTGTAGCTGGTTGTTGAGCTGGGTCTCCTGGCTGCCGGGGTTAAAAGCATCAGCTATGCGGCTTCGGCAGTAAGATTTGTATTTCCAGGAGACAATAACAAGCTGAGTTGCTGTAGTCTGATAGTTGCACTGTAGAGTCACACCTTGAAACAGGATGGCTACGTTGAAAGGATTCGGCACAGTGACCTGCATTGCAATGGCAGAATCTGTAGATTGGAGCAGATAGAAGGGAACGGTGAGTAAAAGCAACATCTTTAAATGCTAATTCACTTCCTTTTTACAGCATTCCTTCTTTCCAATTATTACATGACAAGAAAAGCCAGAGCTGGCTTATTTTCTCAGCACAGTTTCCTCGGGCCTGTCAAGAGCCTTATTTCAAGAACTTCAGTCTGCAACCATCTGGAACCTACACTTACCCATCAACTCATCTAAATCAAGCTTAAGGAGAACAAAGAGGAAAAAAGAAGATTCCCTTGTTTTGTTTATAACACTTCAATGTTCAGAACCAAGTTGCATCTACCATCCTCCCCAGCAATTTAAGGTACTATTCGTTACAAGTCCTGAACATAAATGTTCAGGGATCTAAACTGCAAAGATGCATCTACTGCACGATATTCCAAAAAAATCTACTTTCCAGGATGCCCATCTGGTTGATTCTTAGAAATTCTTTCTTATAAAAGGCAAACAGGTGAACAGTTTACCAAGATCTTCGTTTCTTTTATTCACTCAGGAATCTGCTACTATTTAGAGATGACAGAGAAATAACTTTTTAGCCCAGTCTTACAAAACGGGCAACAAAAAATTCTAGCTTAAGAAATGTCTGTCCAGTATTAATTTAAGTATATAAGTCTGGCGCATTCTGATCAAAGAGAAAAAAGAGAGAGCAATATATCCAGGACTCAGCCTCCAACCTCCAAGTGGCAGTGTAACTTCTTTTCCCTCTGATGTTACTACCCTCTTTATATTCCTTTTATATCTTCTTTATATTCCAGGCTTAAAAGAAACAAAATAAGCAGCAAAAACCCCTCCAAACCAATATTATAAAAATAAAGAAAAAGATTTAATCCAAAGGTAAAAAAAAGAAATAGAAGAAAAACCAATACTTTCACTTTAAAAAGTAGGAAATACTTGCGAAACTTCCGTTCCCCCCCCCCCAAAGGATAACACACTGTCCAATATAGCTTAATTTTGCCGCTTATTTTTCTTTTCCTTGCAAGTTTAACTTAGCTCTGATTTTGGGGGGGCAGTCTCTTTTATAACAATAACATTTCCTCACCAGATGGACACACTTCTCTTTCTGCTTTCCTCCCGTTCCGGAGCTATCCCAACTTCAGCAGCTTATGGCTGCGCATCTGTCGCTGGCAAAAAGAGATTCTCTTGGATGAATCAGGGACTTCGCGATGTCCCTGAGATCAGCAAGACATACTCTTCCCTGTCACCGTCTCTTCGGGACAGTTTAGGTCCAAAAGAACCGTCCAGCAGCAAAAGTATCGACTGCGATCTCGGAGCTCCGAGATCGCACGTCGTATCATTGCGACGTCAGCTCCTCGTCCAAGTCTGGTACATTCTAAGGCAGGGGTCCCCAACCCCTAGGTGGCAGCCCATTACCGGATTGTAGCCTATTCGCAACCGGGCTACACAAGCAGCGGGCCAGCACGCACATGTGCACATGGAGCTCAACTTACGTGAGTAGTGGCCCGGCATGCGTGCACATGTGCACGCACATCCACTTCCCTGAGATGAGCTGTGTGCCCGCCACTAACATAGGTTGAGCTGTGTATATGTGTGTGTTTGCATAGCCCGGTTGCCCTCTCCCCCCCACAATCCACTGGGCACTGAGTCCCAGGTTCTAAGGCAAAGTGTGAAAAGAACCAGTTGTCAATATCTGTTCTGTGCCTTCTAGAGCCCTAACGAGAACAGAAAGAATCAAGTTTGGGGGTCCTTTATTTCTTTTTTCAGAGGGCTGGGGTTTTTAAACAGAGAAATACCGGGAAACAATACTTTTTACGGCATATATCTCATGGTTCAAAATTTCTGAAACTTCTTCCCTCATCTACACAAAGCCTGGCTCAACCCTTAAGCTATACAGGGTATACACCCCCTGTATCCTGTGTGAATAAGTCAGGCTTCACTGTATAAAGTTCAGTTTCAATAAAATATATACAACGCAGAGAGATATGACGTATAAGTGACTAATCGCAATGTTTACACCACATTCTACTTTTGAACTCAAACAAACTCTGTTATGGTTGAATAGCAAAAACATTAAGTAGTTTCTTTGGATTTGGTTTGGTGGGTTGTATAAACCCAACAAAAATCAAAGCAATGTCGCAAGAGATGACGGGCTGCTATAAACTCTCCAAAATGCATCACTCTTCACTGAAAACGCTTGGAAGAGTACATTTATTGGGTGCCTAAAAAGACAAGACAGCCGCGCCTCCATTACTTTTTGGGGAATAGCGTTCAAAAGATCAAAAGCCTCTGGAAAGAGCTCTGACTGTATTTACCAGCCAATTTTACAAGGGATTTTCCACCTTGGCAAAATAATTCATTTCATTTTTACATTAGTTCCCCCCCCCCCAAACCCCCAATTGTCCAAAAAGAAAAGCCTTTTCACTTTTCTACTTTCTAAGTTTTGTTCTGACAAAGCTAGTCTAACACCCTGTGTATCTTGTAGTCGTAGTCTTCCCACTGGTTTCATTTGTTTTTGTGGTTTCATTCCAGCCTGAAAGGGGGCTGAAACCAAGATCAGTTTCCTCCCACAAAGGACCTGCAGTTTCGATGTGTGTGTGTGTTTGTGACAATCAGCTCCAGTCTGGATCAGTCATCAGCCTTCCAGGAAGGAAAGTCTAATAAGGCACACCTTACAGGCTTCAAACAAATACACAATTGATCTTGCGACAGAAACCAAAAGTTCCTTGATTCTTTCGGAAACATTCCCTCCTTTACAGAGGGTGACAAGCGAGGAGCTGGCTAACTCTTCTTCCCTTCCACGGATTGTACGTTTTACCTTGCAGGAAAATGATAATATGCCAAACACCACACGCCCTGCCATGTATTGATCACATGAGATGTGAAAAAAACAACCTGAACAATGTAATAAAGGAATTGCTTTGGCTTCAAATCTTGCATTTCAAATGCTTTTTAAGGTTCTTACCAGTAGAGCAGGGATGTCAAACTCAATTTCACTGAGGGCCACATCAGGGTTGTGTTTGACCTGGGGGGGGCAGGGTGTGTGGCAAGGGTAGGCATGGCCAGCTTGGTATCACTTGGCCCGCCCAGGTTCCGTTTCAGCCCCAACGGCCTCCTGCAGCCCTCTGCCAGAAAAAAATTAAGCCTGGGGCTCCATTCTCTCTGGCAGAGGGCTGCAGGAGGTTGTTGCGGCTGAAAACGGAGCCTCTGAGAGCCACACACGGCCCTCCCGAACTCCGTTTTCGCTGGCAGAGGCACCACAGGCTGGTTCTTCCCTGTTTCCAGGGTGGCTCCACAGGCCAGATCTAAGCACCCTGAGTGCCAGATCCAGCCCTTGAGTTTGACACCCCTGCTGTAGACCTACCCGACTAAACTCTTATGGTAGCCTCGGGGCTTGTGCAAATACCCCCAAAACACTGGATACGGCAGAAAAGCTGTATCTTTGGCTCTATCTGGAAAACCCCACAGCTATACTTTCTGTCCCTACATGAGTTGGAAAACATTTAATTTTCCATCACTGGGATAAGTGTGCACAAGGGAGGGGGGAAAGTCATGGCTTCTTCAAATCACCCCATTTCCTTTCCCTGGAGGGTCTATTCTTTGTTCCTTCCAGCAGGCAAGACAAAGGCAAATGACGAACAGGAAATGCAAAAGGAAGGGGGGGGGAGGCATTTTCCTCCTTTCTTTGGGCTATGAGCCAGGTAAATAGTATATGCTAAGAAACCTTGAGCCCAGAAGAGCCAAGGATATTTTCCTTGTGAAAAGGAAGCTAGCTTTAGTCGGAAAAGAAGGGCTCAGGGAGAGGTGGAAAGAAAACATTTTATTACCAGTAGCAGAAACCCAAACTGAAGTCCACTCTCAACCCCAGAAACCCACTGTGCGCACAACATATTTTGCAGAGTTGTTGTTAAGAGACAGACTGGAGGAAGCACTATATATGGAAAGGAGGATTATCAATCTAACAACAACAAAACCACAATGGAGGTGTGAATGTGCAAATGCACATCCACAAAAACACCAGCTGCAGATCTAGGTCTCCACACCAAGCCCATTACTAACTTTGTACGACCGCACCATCACAACACTAGAACACCCAACAATTCATTGCACCCACATTCTCTTAGCCACGTCCATTAACAATCCCAAAAGTTGCATTTGCACCAACGGCGCGATCCTCCATCGCTTTTAACAAAGTTCATTTTAAATGCGGATTTTTTAAAAAACTGGGGTTTGTTTAAAAAAAACAAACCCTCTTTTCGTGTACAGGTAGTCCTTGGCTTACGATCACAATGGATCCCCAAATTTATGTGGCTGAGTGAGACATTTGTTGTGAGTTTTGCCCCATTTTACGAGCTTCCTTGCTGCAGCTGTGAAGTGAAATCACTGCAGCCCCCTTAAGTGAATCTGGCTACCCAAATTGAGTTCCCTCCTCAGAAGGTCCCAAAAAGTGATCACATAACCCTGGGATACTGCAACAAATATCAACCAGTTGCAGACCATTTGAATTTCGATCACATGATCCTGAGGAATGCCACAAAGGTCAGTAACTCTGTAAAACAGTCACTTTTCCCCCCAGGGCCGTTGGAACTTTGAACGGTCACTAAACGGGGCTGTGGTTAAGTCGAGGACTACCTGTATACGACCCCCCTTTGGGAGGTTTAACAGTAGAAAAGTGGGATCATTCAGAATCCCGATTCAGCAGGTTGCATGTCAACAGGTGCGGATCTGCTTTATCCAGAAAAGCCCTGTTTCAGGCGACTCTCCAGAAAAATCGCCTCGGGGATCCGAGCAAGATCTCACCGCCGAAGATAATAGGGGAAGGAGGAGGGGGGGGGGTGAGAAGGCTAGCAAAGAAAGCAAAGACCCTTTGGGGTTCCCCCCCCCCCAGGCGAAGTCCGCGCGGGAGAAGCCGCGGGGAAAGGAGATTGGCGGAGGGGCGCTTGGCGATCGCCCAATCAGCTCCCGAGTCTCCCCTCCTCTGCGCCCTAAAGAAGTGGTCCCCGAGGAGTCTCCCCTTCAGAGGCGGGCGGAGGGGCAATGAGGGCGGAGGGGTCACGTCGTCGGGGAGCGAGCGGGAACTTTTCCCCACCACCCACCCACCCCCGTTCTTCTCTCTCTCGCTCACCTAAAATCCAAGCGGTGCCCAAGAACCACAACAGGGGCAGCGCGGCGACCAGTCGACGCGTCCTCCGGGTCTCCATTTCCCCAACCTCTGTACGGACTTCGAGCCGGGAAGGAGGGCTGGGGGTATAAGTTGCTCCCAGACGCGTCCGTTTCCAAGCCCGCTTCGCCCTCGGGGGAAGCTCTCCAGTCGGGACTCCGCCACCCGCTCCGCTCTGCTTCGCCTCCGAGGCTGCCCGCGTCTCGGTCCGCGCGATCCACAGGTGCTGCTGCCTTCGCAAGAGGCAACCTCGCCCAATGAACGGAAAGTACCAACTCCTTCAGGGAAGCGGGGAGCCTCCCGCCGAGGCTTACTCACGGGGAAAGTATTCCCCTTTTTTAGGGGGCGGGAACTGACTCACTCGTTTCTTGACTTCGTCTGGGCGAGCTGAATAATGACGAGATAGAGAGAAAAAAAAAGAACAAAGGTCAGACTTCGGGTCTTTCTTTCTATACTCCTCCCCCCCCCCTCGGGACGATGGTTAAGCCTCAAGGCGTCCTTTGAATGCATTGAGGAGCCAAACTATTTGGGAAAAGGGGGGGAGGAGAGAGTGAAGGAAAACTTTGCGAAGTCTTTCTCTGCCCCCCCTTCCCAAGGAAAAGTGAACTCGCCCAGGTACTGCCCAAGAGGAAAAAAACTCAACTTTCAAATACCAGGAAAGGTGAAAGTTTATGAGCTTTTTTATATATATTTTTTTAAGACTGTTGGTCCGGGCGTCTATCTTATAACAGAGGCTGGAATATAAATCGTGGAAAAGCTGAAAAATCTCTGCTAGTTATTTATTCATTGTTATTACTTTTATGTTTCCTATTACTTGTTTTTTTTAAATATATCACTTTCTACGTGCTGATTTTTTTTTTTAAAAATGGTTTAATAAAAGCCTTTTTTTTCAAGTTTTCCATTTTTTTATTTTTTACAAATACATCAAATCAATGCATGAACACTGTGGCACCTGTTGTGTCATACATTCTAATACAAATAAAACCAATAAAGTTAATCCTAATTATTACATTCAATCAACTTATAAATGTCTAATAATGATACACATTTACATTAGGTTACAATCTGTCATTATTCGATTATTCCATGTTTTCCCGTTATTGCTTTTATTATATAAATAATAAATACTAATATTCCCCCTTCTCTTATTTCTGCCACTTATT